GAATCGAACCCGGGTCTTCGGCGTGACGAGCTAACGATTTAACAATAAAACTGCCCCACTACCAAGGGATCACTGAGAAGTACATGTATGCATGTGCAGTAAATGAGAACGCAACATCAGCTCACACTTTGATATGACATCAAGCATGACCAGACCATGAAGCAAGTGTACAAATTGTGTACACTTTTACAAGATTATGTGTCGTTGGTGGTTGTTTAAGGCCGCACTCATCAATATCCCAGCAATATGAATGTGGTCTGTAAGTAATCAAGTCTGCACCAGACAATCCAGTGATTGACATCATGAGCATTGATCTACGCAATTGGGATACGATGACATGCGCCAACCGAGCCAGCGAGCCTGACCACCCGATCCCGCTGGTCGCCTGTTGAAGAAGATTAATTCTAACCAGGATCTTCACAGGATATTAGAATCTGTAGACGAGCACGAATCACTGATGCAGTCACTAAATATGCCTCCAACACAGTATCAATGAACATACAGTTGTTGGTACAGGCACCTCAATATCCCATGCTGTCAATATTTAACGTACCACAAAGCGTAATTTCTTGACCGTAAGTACCGTCAAGCGGGTGGGTGCAATAAGACCTGGGCTTGGGGGACCTAAAAACCAACAGCTCAAATATCTCCTCATAACATTAATGTTCTTTACTCTCAATACTCTGCTTGTAGTACTGCCTGCTAACAATAAAGAAATCCCTGAAATAGCAGGAAGACGAATTTCCATTAAAAACCTACAGCCAGCTTAAAAGCAAGGCTTACACTGGAGAATGTGACCTCGACTGCTCACAATGCACTGCAAAATCTGGGGTAGGCCAGGTTATACCATGGACCGATTGGGCGCCAAAGCCTTTACACCATATTTCCCGAAGGCATTAACCTCGCCGTATATTCGGGCAACAAGTCGTGATGTGGAACGGTATTGCACATGACAGCCAACATGCGAGCGGCGTTCAAAAAGTAGTCAGCCTCATCTAGAAAATAATACAAATGCTGTTTTAAGTTTAATTTTTCTACACATTATATGTCAGCCTCTAGCAAATTGGTTTGGCTATGTTCCAGCCCCACGATCCCCATTTTGTTTGACTTTGACTATCTTGGTACAACTCAAAAACGTAAATTCTGCAATAAATGCATCACAAACTTCAGGAAACAAAATATGCAAGAAACATTTTGTGTGTTTGAGATAGGCAGAAGTACGCTAGAATCATTAACCTAAATATTAAAGTGCATAAAAAAAGCAATTTCAAAAGTACAATCGCTTGTTAAAGTGACTTCTTCGTGTTTACTTAAAGACCTTGTTTTGGAGACACACTACCCACCCCCCTTTCAGATGACGCAATCATTAGGACATAAATTATTCTAATGTTTCCATTTATTCATACATGATGCCAAGAGTTCATACTAAATACTGAATGCCCACACAAGCGTCAGCTCTCAATATATTGTACACAGGGCAAGCTTCAATACCAGGACCACAATGTTTTTGAAAGATTAAAATGGGGGTGTCCTTAAAAAAACGGCCCCTGTCTAAATATAAATCAAGTAATCCAATTCTTTGAATGTTGACTATGACGGGAAGTCATCCAATACTATACTGAACATATTTTATATGATATTATCTGAAGGCATGCCATTACCCGAGAGGTACCAAATGACACATCGTTTTTCATTTTCTGCAATTTTTAAAGAAATATTATACCCCAATGTGTTGTGATGGCTAATATCTCGGTAAGCACATTACCCACATACACTAAACACCAAAAAGAAACGTTACCCTCCATCCTTAATGATGGAGGTACCTATCTTCAGGTGGCGTTGTGATGCGTGGACGTCCACTTCTTGGTCTGTCTACGGTGACCCCAGTCTGTCTTAAGCCCTGAATAAGTCTTATAACCGTGACACGGTGGCATCCAAGGACGTTGGCAATAGCATTGTATGTCGACCCCATCTACACCATCCCAATGGCTCTCTCTCTTCAGCTGTTAATCGTGGCCTATTTCTCGTACTTGTGTATTATATCATGCATTGTAGGCTCTCGTTATACCCTATAGAATCATTGAACATGTGAAATGGATACAAATACTGCCTGAATATTGCTACGTTTTGGCGACTGATATTGCTATGTGTAAACAGAAAATGGAATAATATTACTTTGCAAGCAAAAATGTTAACAAAAATAATGTTACATGTTCTTAAACACTTTTTTCACAATATCAAAGACATGTTTTACTTGTTTTCACTAATGCAAATCAGCAGAAAATGTTTCAAAAGACTGAAATCATAGGAATGATTAGATTACAATTCTACACACTCTACAACAGTTGTTTCTTGTTTTAATAGTTGACAAATGGTGACTTTAAATTGTTTATCTTTGTCTCAAAGCAGAATTTTATTTCAACCTGTCTTTTGGACATCTAAATCACTGTTAGTGGTTCATTTCGGCATGGTCTAAAATAGGACAATTTAACTCTTCTGAAATAGATGCATTTTACTCCAATTATATATGCATTTGAGAAATGTTTTTTCGTGATTTGCACAAGGCTGTGTTGTTAAGCTTTCTTGTAAACTATGACCTTCTAACATATCGTTGATAGTTTTTAGGTAATTCATGAAGATAGGAGGGTAATGTTTCTTTTGGTGTTTAGTGTATGTGAAATTTTGGATATGGCTTTGCTAATGATTCCTTCAAAATAAAATAGTAGCTTTTCAAACACTGGACATCGAGAATATAGTTAGGCTGACTACTTTTTGAACGCCCCTCGTAATATGGGTATCGTAAATGACCATGTGACGGTCCAGTTACATGTTAACGAAATGTTACGTCCGTTCGTTGTTCCGATCACTAGAATTATCGACAGGTATTTCGAACTACAAGTTCACAATGCCAGATTACATCGTGTCCGGCGATCAGCGATCAAATCCGTCGAGAAGGGGGGACGATGACCTGGCCGGTGATGACCCGTCCCATGTCCCTAATGGAGCATCTGTGGCATGTGTCGGGAGGAGAGTGTACGCCAGACACCACCACCACGTCGCCAAACTTGAGGTGGTTCTTCAGGCGCAATGATGACAATATCAAGGTTGCCATACGCAACAGTTCAACATAAAAGTGCAGCACATGTATTTACAACGTGACCAGTTCACATATTGATCTTCACGCCCAGAATGTTGCATCTATCGTCAATACAGCCTCACTATCATTCCAGAAGTTCACATATTTATGACTTTAGTATATGCAGCTTCGTCCTTGCAGTAATCAGTGTAATTTCTGTCAGCCAAGTAACCTACGAAACCGAACATAAACACAGTGTTTGAGTAAACCGTCCCATGTATCATTTAGAGACAGGTGATTTGCAGACATAGTCCATAGTCGTCAACACCCATGAAGATCATTATCTGAACTTATTAGGAACGTGACATAGCAATTCTTTCGCAAGCAGACATTAAATCGATGTTTGAAGATGAACGCGGTTTCTGACTGGTAACCGCACCAGGTTAATTTACCCGATCGTTTATCGGTTGTTTTTTTCCATCGATATGATGACCTAATATATGGCTTCACGCATTGTACTAGAGACTGCACTGGCTGCAGGGTGTTCGTTGCGTTGGTGAACACATTAACCACTTTCTTCCCGATTACCCTGGTCCACCATATCATCAACTTTTTAAACTGATATCTCAAGGTCTCCAACCAGTAAGCCGCTGTGAATTTAATCCAAAATATATTAGCGTTTGTCTCAGGTTTCTGAGCAAACAAACCAATTTGTTTTATCTGCAGAATTTCTGCAGTCTGATACATCATTCTGACTTGTTGATGCATGTGCAAGGTAAATACAGCTTATGAGGTTCGATTACGTTGCATAACACTACCTAACATGTAATTGAAAGGATCCATTCACTGATCGATAAACATATTTCTCATTCTGATAATTTGGCTGTATGAGGACACACGCCTTTCTAAAATAATAGGGTTTTCCATCATTTGGTGTTTTTAAACCGCGTATTTGTAGTTAGGTAACTTAGCCGCTACTGCTGTTCCACGTCCAAGTCACAAAACCGATAAAGAGTATACACAAACATAATCACCCACTTGCTGAACAGAGACGCAGATGATGAACGTATACAAGTACACTGACATTCTACGCCTGTGCATACAGTGGAGCCTTGTTGTAAACGCTGATATATAGTATAGATTATTTGGACGTCAATAGGATCCTAATGAGGTGGACATGTATGTCAGAGCAAATAACTACCTGTGCAAGTCGAAAAATTCCATAATCTCCTTGTACTGGGAACAGGTTACGATAGCATACTCACATGACCGGCAACGTGATTGAGAGGAGGGTTTACAATTATGATATTGAGGTTCGTTGCTTTTCGTTAACAATATAACAGTACACAACGTTTGTTTTATGTGACAATGTTTTCAATGTTGTTTAGAACAATGGGGCAGACTAGTGCTTAAAGCGTTGCTTTTCAAGACGAAAGGCTCCGGTTGGAAAATCCAGCATGGGTGCAATGGGTAAATTCAGCCTTGAAATAGTTGGAATATTGCGGGGAAAAAAAAGTCGTAAATCTATTCTCAATGTTGTTTTCGGTCATACTACGTCATTTTAAGACAAACGTAACCATATTGTATATATATATACACAGCGGCAGCCGACTGGACCGGACAGACCAATGAACGACGTTACCAGCAATGTAAACATTTGGATTTGGATGGTGTAACATCAGACCTGGTCAGATGAGCAAACGGTAAACTTCGGCTTCTATCAAATATTTATGTTTGTTTGAGAAGTGCACTGTAACCGGTAAGGTACGATTACTGTCAAGTTCATTCTTTGTGCGCCGCAACTGCTACAATAAGGTTAATCTCCTATTAACTTACGCAGTTACGCACACACACACAGACACACACACACACACACACAAACACGCACGCACGCACGCACGCACGCACACACAGTCTGCCTCACCTGTATGGACTCCGATCCTCAGGTTCAGATCCTGTTCTGGCATATGCGGAATACGGAAGTCCTTGACCCCGATGAGAAGTTCAAGAGCCATCAAGGTCACCTCGGTCACGTGACGTGATGCGTTCCTCTGCGGCAGACCACTGACCACCATGTACGCGTCGCCGATAGTCTCAACCTTATACACGTCATACCGGTCAAGGCAATTGTCAAAAAAAGTGATACAACTTGTTGAGGAACGCCACAACTTGGAGAGGCGTGCTCTGCGCCGAGATGGTCGTAAAACCAACGATGTCGCTGAAGTAAACGGTGACGCTGTCAAAATACTCCGCGTTCACTGCCTTGTTCATCTTCAGCTGTTGTGCCACGGACTTTGGCATCATCTGGTACAACAAATTGTCTGACCTCTGCTTCTCAATGTTAAGCTGGCGTGACTTCATTGAGGCGTCCAGAGCGTATTCCTGTATGGACGTGGTCAGTCTGTGCATCAACCACACCAGAAGAGGAGTGAGGACGATGACCATAACAAAAGCAAGAATGGACACAGCTAGGAACAGTTCAGACGCATCGGTTTCCTCTTTTATTCTATTGTTTATATCGTTCTTAATCTCCAAACTGAGGTCCTTTAGAAGGTCCAGGTACTCGAACGTAGTGTCGCGGAACGTTGCGCTAACCCTTTTCGAGTAATCCGAGTAGTTATTCGACAACCACATGGAACTGAAATTGGCAATGTCGGCGAACACATTCGAGTTGGACATGTTATAAGCATCATAAAGATCGCTGGCATGTTTGGAATATCTTCTGAATGTATCTATATGATCCTCAGCCAAAGCTGTGTTCTGTCGAAGTGAGATGTAGTCCTCGTAGTTCAGAGAACCGTTCTCGAAGAACACGATCCCATACGCAACAACAATGCCGATGTTCTCCTTGGCTCTGATGACCATCTTGTATGCCATCATATCCTGCCAGATGGACCCATGCGTCATTTCTCTGGAGGATTCGAGAAGACGGAAGATAAAGCACTGGTTGATTTCGTGTAAAACACCACCTCCTTATGGCTTGTGTTGTTGTCGTCCTTCAGATGGGAGCGGTGTTTGTGCAAGACCTCTGTTAATGCCACGCCGCTGCTATGGCCGCACATTGGCCAGATGTCCTGCTCTATTGCCATCCTATCGGTTCTGTTGTAGATGTCATCAATAAAGGTGTAGTTGTCCGTTCTCATAGAAAGCACAACATCAGCTCTTTCCATCTGAACGATGTGGACGAGGCTGCCTATAGCCTGGGCCTTGGCCAGTTGTTTCTGGATGGTGTGGAGATCATTTGTCGACTGGATAGCACCAATCTGTAAAGGTTAACGTCAAAAGCTCAAATTAGAGGGTCTAAGTTACAAAGGTCAGTTGAAAGTAACATCAGTATCACAACTGTCATAAAACGCACAAATGTTTATGTATTTATTTTGTTTGTTTGTTTGTTTATTTATTTATGCATTCATTCATTATTGTCACAGTATTTCAGCAATTTCTTCCCAAAATTACTGAGTCAAAATAATCCCAATCACCAATTGCACACAAGGTCCTTATTAAGGTCGGAGCGGCGGGGTAGCCTACTGGTTAAAGTGATCGCTCGTCACGCCGAAGATCCGGGTTCGATTCCCCATATGGGTACTATGTATGAAGCCCATTCCTGGTGTCCCACGATGTGATATTGCTGGAATATTGCTAAAAGCGGCGAAAAACCATTCTCACTCACTCACTACTCATTCATTTATCATGGTCAGTCCAAACGACCTTACATAACGGTATGTCACTTACCATGAGATTGGCAGCAAACCCCAGCACCCCAGCCAGGGGTATGAAGATGAGGGTGAGCACTCTAATCATCTGCAGCGTCTTGCCTCGAGAGGAGATGGGGTCGGCGTAACAGAACTGAGATTTCACGTTGATCTCCAATACCCCGGCAAAAGACTGCTCGCTTCTGTCACACTGGGCCATCTTGGTTACCTTCGGCCTGGATAGCAAACATTTCGTTACTGTGCATTATGTAAATGTTTTACAATGTATGTACCGAGTTATTCAAGGTAGTCATCGAGTCATACTTATAGGCTGGAAGGTCAAAGTAGCACGTGACCTTTCTGCACATGTCACTGAACATCATCCGACTCTAACGTATCGTTGTTGTTGTTTAAGGCCGCAGTGGGGTAGCCTTGTGGTTAAAGCGTTCGCTCGTGACGCCAAAGACCCGGGTTCGACTCCCCACAGTGGGTACAATGTTTGACGCCCATTTCTGGTGTCCCCAGCCGTGATATTGTTGGAATATTGCTAAAAGCGGCGTAAAACCATACTCACTCACTCACTCACTTCAGCAGTATGGCGGAAGTCTGTAAATAATCGAGTATGGACCAGCAACAGCATGAGCATCGATCGTCGATACTGGGATACGATGACATGTATCAACCAAGTCGGCGTGCCTGACCACCCGATCCCGTTAGTCGCCGCTTACGACAAGCATGGGTTGCTGAAGACCAATTCTAACCCGGATCTTCACGGGTCCGTGTACTCCACGATGTGGATGTTTATCCAGCGTTTAAGGTCAAGCCGTTGATGATCTTTTGACTGTTAGGTCCCTTTTTGTTCAGATGGCATTCATTGACTTCTAGTATTCCTTGTATTGACAAAACGTGAGTAACAATCCATTTCAATCACTAATGATCGAGAGCCAAGTCAATATACACTTTGTTGTGCCAGACAAACAACCCATCAATGTCCCATAGATTGCTGCAAGAGTTTTCACTAATTAGTAGATTCAACTAGCAAACTAATTGCACACAAGGTCCTTATTATGGTCAAGGCGGATAGCCTAATGGGTAAAAGCGTCCGCTCGTCAAGCTGAAGACCCGGGTTCGATTCTCCATATGCGACTAATTAATTGCGAAGTTTATATAGCCACTTACTTCAGGCAACTGTTCTAAACTAATTTTTGCAAAATATTCCAAACTGTTTAAAGGTACTGTTTACACATGAACTGATGTATCGTAATACATATGCGTACAGTTGAAAAGAATGTTGACATGAGTTCAAGAAATGATAAAACTCAGTGAAAATTGACGAATTCTTAACAAAGCTTTACACCAAAACGCAGCTGTTCACATGCATGTATTTGCACATGCTTTTCAGCAATTTGATGCATGATCCTCGTGTAATTCATCTGCATAAGGTTTGCAGTTGGTTCCACCAAGTTAGTGGAGAAATCAGTCTTCAATATAACCATATACATAACGGATAGTGAGTGTTTTCAGTGAGTCTACATTTTGATGGGAGGTATATTTTCGTCAAGTACTTCAGCAGAACAAGCAACCCAACAATTATCCAGCTATTCTTAAACTATCACCTTATAACGCCCACACAGATACAATAATAAACCTAATAAAACCTAATACACACTAACACTTTAGGAAAACATGTCCTAACACAATGAACTCTTTTGAGTGAGTGATTGAGTTTTACGCCGCACTCAGCAATATTCCAGCTATATGCAGCAGTTTGTAAATAATCGAGTCTGGACCAGACAATCCAGTGATCAACAGCATGAGCATCGATCTTCCTTAGTCGCCTCTTACGGCAATCATGGGTTACTGAAGATCAATTCTAATTCTAATTCGGTATTAAGCGGGAACAAAAATATTGTTTATTACTTGACATGTGATATATTACAATATAGAAAAATCGAAATTAATTCACATCTTCGTCCTCGTTTTGAAGAACTGCACATACACGTGATTGAAAAGTCTTTTCGTCGGAAATGTGATCTGATGGAAAAAGCTTCTGCCGGAAGACTGAAATATTAGTGCTTCGATCCCTCTCTAGGTCGTACCTAAATACGTTGAAATATGGTACTTGTCTAGCATTGTTTTTTCTGAAACAAGAACTGGTCGGCTCGGAGTTTAATACACGTGAGCTGAGTATCAGTGTATAACTGTGGTATGGGTGAGTAAGTGAGTTTAGTTTTACTCCGCACTCAGCAATATTACAGCTATATAGCGGCGGTCTGTAAATAATCGAGTCTGGACACAGACAATCCAATGATCAACAGCATGAGCATCAATCTTCCTTAGTCGCCTCTTACGACAATCATGGGTTACTGAAGATCAATTCTAACCCGGATTGATTTTAAGGGGGTCACCCATTTTTTTCTGGGAGGTTGGGGGTTCATCAATTCTGTACACATGTTTCTAGGGGTCAGCAATTTTGTACATAACAATATTTAAAAATTATGCCTAAAAAATATGGAAGGGGAGGGGGGGTCATTGATTTTGCACATGACATGCAGGGGGTCACTTACTTTTTCCATAAATGTTTTGGGGGTCATTCACATTGTACTTACTTCTCCATAAAATCATCAGGTGTGAATTTAGAGTAGTTCCCCTTTAAATCAGCACCTCCCTTAACAGTCAAACAGAGGTACGGAACATCACTTCAGTTACACCGAGAGTCGGAACTAATGGGGTATTGCTGTATTTGCAATTTACATACCTGCATTCCTTCAGATACCCTTTGAAAATGTTATTTTTTCATCGTTACCTGTCGATTCCCAAGTTAACTGGAAATCAGTCTTTAAAAAACCCGGTTTGAAACGTGGTATACAGTAACAACATAAACCGACCACTAATTTTAGTTCATTATAACTATATATTTTCTGGAATATACTTTTTTGTGGAATCCGAGGTGGCTGAGTGGGTTAGATGGCTGACGTTGTGTGTCTGACTCGGAGAGTGTGGGTTCGAATCGGATGGGACTCAACCTAATAAAAGTACAAGAATCTGTACTCTACAGAGAAAGTGTAATCCTAAATAAAACATATGACCTTTGACCACTCTTTAAATGGCATTGTGTAACCGTAGTGCGTTGTAGGCGTTTCGAGTAAAATTTGATCAGTTCACCGAGACCAAAGAAACAGTTCATTATAAACGTGTTTGTTATAATTAACGTGTTTGTTATGCATTAATGTAATTGATAATTGTATTCTATGTTCAGCCAAGTTTACAAATCACGACAAAGGAATTACAATGGCAGTAAATGGGAAAAACAGAATAAGTGAGTACGGTTTTACGTCGCTTTTAGCAATATTCCAGCAACATCACTGCGGGGAACACCATTAGTGGGCTTTAAATTGTGCCCATGTGGGAATCGTGTGTGTGGACTTCGGCGTGACGAGCGAACGCTTTAACCACTAGGCTACCTCATCGCCCCCACAAAATAGTGTGCGGCAGTACAAGTTCAATGGCAATATAATATAGAAGGGGTGATTATAGCAATAGAGTCAAGAATGACAATATTCACCATGCTGACACAGCAAGTATTCCAAACTAGGCCCACATTAAGCATCCATGGTGAAAAGTAATCCTCACACAACAGCTGCTCTTCTTGTAATATATATAATAAACTTCACAACTTTCTGTAACTCTCTGGGTCAGACTACAATGGAATATTACGGCCCAGATGTCCACACTAGCCTTGCCTCCCAGTCTAAATATAGTAACCTAGACACCACTGCCATCAACCGAATCTTACAAAAGACTATATAATACAAATACAACACTGTTCTACAATGCCTAGAACCACATGACACCATCTCATAAATATTCATGATATTGGATAAACAGCATATTTCATATGAAACTGTACGTTAGCATTATAGAGAATGAGGTCAAGTCTAAGACGCTCACATATTTCCTATTTATACCTTAAGCTGTCAAATATAAAATAGTATTGGATTATGAAATATGTATGAAATAATAACGAACGAACGTACACTAAGCCATGAAAGCGTCTATACATCGCTGTGTTTTATGTAAAACCTAATACATATAAAATATAGGTATGTTCGCACTGTATTTTGTAACCACAAAGGCACTGTTGTAGCTACTGCGGTCTTGAAGAAAACTTGTCCTAACACTTCGAAACCGTTACAAAAAAAACAACCTAAAATA